AAGGAGAGGAATTTTATCATTTGGTACTCGCAAAGAACTAGACTGATTCTTCTAGAGTATAGCCCTTTTTGCAATAAATAACTACAGTAGATTTTCACCATGGGAGAGGAATTACAAAACATGAATATAAATCAAAATGTTCTTCCTTGACATATTTATTTTTAGCAAACTTAAAGATGGAGAAGGGATGAGCATAGGAGAGCCATAAAAACTTTTTACACATATTTTGGGTTTTTGGGGGCATCTTTAAGAAACTTAAACTTCTCTTCTACCTTTTTTTTTCTTGTTTAGTTTTGACCATGCAATAGGGGTTAAGTGACTTACCCAGGGTCACACAGCTAGTAAATGTCAAGTGTACGAGGCTGGATTTGAACTTAGGTCCTCTCCTAACTCCAGGGCTGGTGCTGTATCCACTAGGCCACCTACCTGCCCCTCTTCTATCTTTCTTGAAGTCTGAAGTCCAAGCTGTTTTATGCATTTAGTAAATTTCCATTCAAGTTTATTTAATTAAACAAATATTTATTAGGGGCCTACTGTACATAGAGCATTATGCTAAACACTGGAAGACATTTGCAGTTTAGACAAGATACGGTCTTTGGAACTCATGGAGTCTAGAGTGTAATAGTGGAATATCACACACACATCCACAGACACACAGGCGCACACACACACACACACACACACAATCTAAGATAATTCACAAACATATTTGAGGCTTACAAAACAACAGCCATGAGATGTCTAAGTTGAAAAAGTTAGCAGTGGAGCAAGAGGTCCAGAAAGGCTTCAAGGAGGAACAAGCATTTGAGTTAGGCTTTCAAGGATGAGTAGAAATTCAATGGCAGAAGTAGCTAGATGGCTCAGTGGATAGAGCACTGGACCTGGAGTCAAGAAGTCCTGAGTTCAAATCTGCACTCAGACACTTACTAGCTGTGTGACTCTGGGCAAGTTACTTAACTTCTGAGAAGGAAATGGGAAACCACTCCAGTATCTTTGCCCAAAAAAACCCCACGGACAGTATTGGCCTGTTACGGCCCATGGGCTCATAAAGAGACAAGACAGAACAACATGGACTTCAACAGCCTCTCCGCCATGGCCTCTTCTTTAGCTTTGCCTCTGGGTCCTCTTCAGTTCTTTTCAAGGCTCAACTCAAACACTACTTTCTACATTAGGCTTTTTATGATCCCTGCCATTGTTAGTGACCTCCCCTTCCTCCAGATTACTTTAAAATTACTTTAAAAAAATTCCTTTTCTTAATTAAGAATTTCACAAACACCAGCAAATATGAACATTTCCATATAGAAAGAAAATACTGTACATGAACCATGAATCTACTTATTTTTTTTAAAGCATATATTAAATTTAACATAGCAGTACTAACACTGTCTAGTTTGTCTGTGTCCTTTCTGAACTTCCTTCTGTTTTCTTCTGAGTATTTTAGAAATGTTTAATTGATAATTTTTTCATTCTTTTTTGCATTACTACTACTACTACTACTACTACTACCCACTACATTCTCCGACAAAGAATAAAAGCCCAACCTTATTACAGGTGTGGACAAACAAAACAAACTGACAAATTGGTCATGTCTCATTCCATACCTACAGCCCACTACTTCTCTTCCAAAGAGGTGAGAGTCAGGCTTCACCATGAGTCTTCTGCAATCATAACTAGTCACTGTTTTTATCAGAATTCTTTAGAATTTCAAAGCTGTTTTTCTTTAAAATATTGGAGTTCTTATATAAACTATTCTCTTGGTTCTGCTCACTTTATTCTATATCACTTCAGATAAGTCTTTACAGATTTATCTGAATCCATCCTTTTTGTCATTTCTTATGGGGCAATAATATTCCATTACGTATACATGATAATTTGTTGATAATTCCCTAATAGATAGACTGTGCACTTTGCTTCCAATCCTTTGCAACAGTAAAAAGGTGTTGCTATAAATACTTTTGTTTATATGGGTTCTTTCCTCCTTATTTTTGACATCTTTGGGGACATATCCCTAGCAGAAGTGTTAGTAGGTCAAAGGAAATGTATCACTTGATGACTTTGTGGGTTAAGTTCCAAACTGTTTTTCAGAATGGCTGAATCCACTCATTTCCAAAATGGCTGAATCCAACAGGGCATTAATGCGCCTGTCCTCCCCACAATCCTTTACGGAACTGTTGTTTTTCTTTTTTGTCAAATCAACAAGCATTTATTAAGTATTTAATGCCAGACACTATGATGAATGTTGGAGATATAAAGAAAAGTAAAAAAAAAAATCATCTTTGAAAATCTGATGGGTGTGAGGTAGTAACTGAGTTGTTTTAATTTGTATTTTTTAAAAATTATCAGTGACTTTGGAGCATTTTTTTCATAAGGCTGTTACCTTGCATTTCTTTCTTTTTATGAGGAATGTTTGTTCATATCCTTTTACCATTTATATAATGGGGAATGGCTCTTATTCTTATATCTTTATTAACTCCTATATATCTTATATATCAGTCCAATATCAGAGGAATTTTCTGGAAGTATTTCTCCCAGCTAAACAATTCCCTTTTAATTTCAATTGCGCTTTGCTGTATAAAGTTTTTTTAAATTTTATGTAATCGAAATTGTCCATTTTATCTCCTGTCATCTTCTCCACCCCTTGCTTGGTTAAGAACTATTTTCTTATCCATAATTGTGAAAGGTACTTCCATCCCAGCTCCTCTATTTTAGTTTATCATTTGACATTTTATGTTTATACATTTGGAGCTTATTTTGTTGTATGGTTTGGGCTATTGGTCCAAACCTTATTTCTGCCAAGCTGGTTTTCATTTTTCCCAAAGGTTGCTGTGAATAGTGAGACAATGCCCCAGGAGCTGGATCCACTTTGGTTTACTGAATACTATGCTACTACATTCGATTGCTTCTAGGTTTTGTGTATCTTGTGTTTCACTGATCAACTTTTGTACTTTTTAATCAATACCAATTACTTTTGATGATTATAGCTTCGTCATATAGTTTGAGATCTAGTATTGCTAGACCTACCTTGCTTTCCATTTTTTTATTTCTTTTGAGATTCTTGATCTTTCTTTCCTACAGATAAATTCTGTTTATATTTTGTCTAGTTCACTAAAGCAACTCACTGGTAGTGTGGTACAGCAATGAATAAGCAAATCTATTTTTACATATTGACATTTTTATGTTATTGACATGGCTCAGCTATGCACCATCAATCTCTCTCCAATTATTTAGGTCTGTCTTTATTTTTTTATAGAGTATATTGTAGTTGCATTCATATAATTCCTGTGTAGATGTACTCAAAGTTTTACATATCCTAGTTCTTTAGAATGGAATCTCCCTTTCTATTTCTTTCTACTGAGTTTTGTTGGTAATATAAAGGCTGATGGTTTATGTGGATTTATCTTATATCTTGCTACTTTACTGAAGTTGTTTCATTATTTATATGAAATCTCTACAATTCTCTATCATATTATTTGCAAAAGTTGTTTATTCTTAGTCAACATTTAGTCCCTCAATTTATTTTTATCATTTTTTGTTGTAAGGAGCATTTCTAATAATATACCAAATAAAGTAGTGACAATGGCATTCTAGTTTTACCCCTGACATCATCATTATTATTATTTTTTTTAGGCAATTGGGGTTAAGTGACTTGCCCAGGGTCACACAGCTAGTAAGTGTCAGGTGTTTGGTCTGAGGCCGGATTTGAACTCAGATCCTCCTGACTTCAGGGCCGGTTCTCTATCCACTGTGCCACATAGCTGCTCCTACCCCTGACATTATTAGAAAGACCTCTAGAATTACATTGTTTACCATATTAAGATAAAGTTCATAGAGAGCTACTACATCTATGTCTTTGAAAATTCTACTGAAATCCTTAACATTTAAAAAATATTTTGGTTATATTTGTTGAGGTTTAAAGGGGGTATATTGAGATCTTTACCTATTATAATTTTGCTGTTTATTCCTTATAATTCAATTAACTTTTCCATTAAGTAGTTACATGCTATACCATTCAGTTTCCATACATTAAGTATTGACATTATTTATCTGTGAAGGCTTTAATAATGTAATTTTGTTGCCTGTCTTTTAACCATACTCTGTATCTTCTCTTATCATATTGGAGATCATAACCACCAGTCCTGCTTTTTTAAATTTCCTTGAGGCAAAATTGTTTCAACTCAATTTTAATTCTGTAAATTTTTATGTTTTAGGTGTGTTTCTTATAAACAACTCTGTTGGATTCTGCTTTCTAATCCATTCTGCTACTTTCCCTCTAGTCTATGGATGAAAATACCATTCACATTCATGGTTATGACTGATAATTGTGCTTTCCCCCTATCATATCTTCTTATATTTTTTCCTTCATTTAATGCCTCCAGTTCACCCTACTTTTTTTTAAAAGAAGTTAGTGAAAGTAAAAGAATAGGATCAATATCAACAGTTTATAATTGAAGTCTTTCCCTCTTTAATTCCCTGGTTTCCTTTAAATCTCAGCTATTATTATTAAAGCCCCACCTTTTGCAAGAAGCCTTTCCCAGTACAATCTTGTTTGTACATAGTTGTTTGCATTTTGTCTCCCCATTTAGACTTGAGTTCCTTGTAAGGAACGACTGTTTTTCGCTGTTCTTTGTATCCCCAATGCTTAGTATACTGCCTAACACACACTGGGAGCTTAATAAAGCCTTGCTGGCTGAATGACTGATTAGCTGTATAGCTTTGGTCATGCTACTCTTTTTGCATCTTAATCTTCTCATTTGTAAACCTGGCAATAATGTCATGATACCGTTAATATATTTAAAATATGTATAAGCCACCATTAATACACTTAAAAGATGTATAAACCATACAAAGACAGATGAAAATGCATATAAAATATTACTTATGCTGTTATTAAATAGACTCAATTGATTTCCACAGAAGCTTAAACTTTGTATATTATAAAATATTTTTGGTTAAGTTTATTCCATCAATAACTGGATACAGCACCGTCCACACTGACTTACGGAGTGCTATGTGGGTGGCATCCTCTAAAGGATATCCTCTTTTTGCAGAATTGATGACACAAAATCCTACAGAGGACACTGCCTGCTCCCTGTAGACAAGAAAAAACAAGAATTGAGTCACAAATATTATACTTCAAAATTCAGCACCATCTTTAAAATTTGACTCAGTCACCCACCCAATATGGGGAAAAATGATATACTGATAAAATTAACTTGTACTGTCTGTTTTATACATTTACTAAACACTAAGTTAAAATTTTAATAGTAAAGCAAAGGCTTTATGTCATTCTCCAACATTTTCCTATTTATGTTGAACTTTTCAAATTCCCTACCTCTCAAATTTTTTAGAAGAGAATTCAACCTGTATAGTAGAATCCTTTTGAATTATCTAATTGCTCTGGCATTTGCCTCTTATATGTCACTGAGCTGCATATACATAAAAGTGGAACCTCTAAGACGGAAAACTCTATATCTAGAAACACAGACTCACGTTGCCAATTGCAGTACATTTCTGTAGCAGCTATATAGGGAGCTTTCAGCTGCTGTGCGATAGCGGCTCTTGTATTTAGGTCCCACGGTGTGAATGATGAAACGGGCAGCCAGATTGAATCCTTTTGTAAGCTTTGCTTCCCCTGTTCGGCAACCTAAGTGACCAAGGCAGTATAAACAAGGCAAAAAAGTATTACCAAGCAGAAGGGAAATAAAGTCCGTATGATGTCTCTTCATTATCAAAATCTAAAATACCAATGGGTCTCTAGTCATGGCTGAGATATAAGGCTGGGCTTAAACGTTTGGCAGTGGCAAAATGACCACTCCTTCCCTTCTACAGTCACTAAGTCTGGAGAAACTACAGCAATTACAATAGCTAGCAAGCATATTGTGATTCTGACTCTCAGCATTCTGACTACTATTCCTAACCCCATTTTCCCCATTCTCTATAGGGCATTCATTGTTAATATCTTTTCCTGCAAATGTTGTTTTCCTAGTTTTGCTTACTTCATTGCATTAGTTCATACAGGAGTTCCCAAGTTTTTCTGAATTGTTCATATTCATCATTTGTTTTAGAGCAATAACATCCACTGCTTCAATTTGGTGAACTATTTCACAATCAATAAGAACTTGCTTTGCTTCCAATTCTTTGCTATGCCCCCCACATCCCCCAAAAAGTGTTGCTTTAAGTATCTCAATATATATGACACCTCTCCCTATCTTTGATCTCCTAGGGTACATGCCCAGTTGTGGTTTTCACTGGGTCACAGAATATGTACAATTAATGACTTTTCTAGTAGAATTTAAAATTATTTTTCAGAATAGTTGGACTAATTCACAGCTCTACCCACAGTACATTAGAATTGACTGTCTTCCCATGGCTCCTCCTGACCATTTTTTGCCTTTTGTCACCTTCACCAGCTTGCTGCATGAAGTGAAAGCTCAGAGTTTTTGTTTTTATTTAATTAAGAGACTGAGAACTCACTCAATGGAGGGTGGTTCTCCATTCACGACATGACTTCTCTTACCTCGACGTCTTAGTCGAGGCTCTCCTCTAAGTCTCTAAGGCTGTTTCTCATCCTTTGCCTCTCAGAATCCCCAACTCCCTTCAAGGCTCCAGTGCCAGCTCTGACACAAGACTCTTTTTCCACCCACCTACCCCCATCAACTGTTAGATTTCTCTTCTTGTCACTTCCTTTCTTTAGAAATTACTTGTATTTTTCTGTGTACGAGTTGTTCCCCCTAGTAGAATGTAAAGACCTGGAGGACACAGACCATGACATTTTCCTCTTTGAAGCCCCAGTCAAGCATTGTACCTTGCACATAGCAAATATTTAAGAAAGTCTTATTGAAATGACTGCAATATTATACTATTAACTTACATTGAGCTTGCAGTTCATTAAAAACCTTAGATTTTTTTCAAAGAAGCTGCTATGTGGCCCTGTTTCCCTTATAATGAACTTGTAAAATTAATTCAGTGAATCCAAGGGTAACACACTTTACATTTATTTCCATGAAACTACATCTCATAATATCTGAACTAATGCACTAGTTCGTTGAAAATATTTTTGAATCTTAATATCATCTAGTTTATTAGCTATTTCTCCCAGTTTGGCGCCAACTGGAAAGTTAATAAACATGTCTCAGGGTCACCTTTTTAGAGGTCATTTAGTTCAACACCTTCATTTTATAACTGAATAATGTTCTCTAACAATCAAGAAGGCTGAAAAAAACATTGATTTACCTTTGAGCTTCTGGAGTTCTTCTTTCAAGTCAGGCCCTGCAAGCATAAAGATGCTTTCTGACACTGGATTCTTATCAGTGAGACTTTCATTGCTGGTATTGACTATAGCTGTACAGTTCAGTAAAGCTACATCTCCTTTCCTAAGGAAACAGAAGACATTCAAAGCAGTTTACAAATTAGCTTGGAAAGCTGAATAAGTGCTGCTCTTCTTCTTTCCTTATAAATAGTGAGTTTCTTATTCCATCAAATTTTCCTTCTCAAACTTCAGTACCTTGTTAAAAGAAATAATCTTATAAAATGGTTTATAAGGGGCAGTTAGGTGGCACAGTGGATAGAGCACCAGTCCTGGAGCCAGGAGGACCTGAGTTCAACTCTGGCCTCAGAAACTCACTAGCTATGTGACCCTGAGCAAATCACTTAAACCAGGATTGCCTCCAAAAAATAAAATAATATGGTTTACAATACATGTACAATCACGTTCTTCCTTAATTTTTTTTGTTCTCTTTTGTGCATTTGAATATTTTGACTTTATGAAGGAAGATAATGTAAAATGTATTAACTGGGCAAGGGAGAAACATACTTTATCTTCTTCAGATCACACCTTGGTTCTACCAGATCATTTTAAAAGACAGAGTAAAGAATAACTATCTTGGAAAACTATATCTAGAAGTGACATAATTTAATTGTTGAAACATACGAATTCTTTTTTTGCTTCTGAAATATCTATTTTTCTTGCAATATTTATCTATAGATATACCTATATAATTTATTATTTATCTCTCTTTCTATTTTATCTCTCTATTCAGAGTCGAATCTTGTTCATTTAAACTGGGTTTAATATCAAAGAATTATGAGAATTGCTACTCCTGGTCCTCCGTATTAATTAAACTTACCAAAGAATCACTTTTCCACTGAGCTCTTTACTGAAGGGAAAAGGTGATCTAATGACTTCATCTTGGAATTTTTCAGTTAGAGTTTCTGAGGAATCTACTTCATCTGCTTCATACCATTCAAACCAGCTGGGCAGAGTATCAATATCCACAAACTGGGAAGGAGCACCCAAAGGATCCATGGTATGAAACTTGGCTCTAACTTCTTAGCAATTTAGTTTTTAATGGAACTCCTATAAGCTTGAAAGACACAGACACAAAAACTTTCAGAAAGTACTTTAGAGAAAGAATACTGCAGTATAAAATATCTCAATAGCAAGTTTGTTTTAATTATTTAAATACCATATAAATGGAAAAAAAAAACCAATAAAAGTGTGGCCACCTCTAATCAATAACAACAGGAATAAAATGCGCTTTCATTTTCATAGTTTTTCACTGGTACTTAAAAATCACTTAATATAATCCCAAATAAAAGATAAGTGCTATAAACATGATCTTTTTTCCTAGCAGTCCATAAATCTCCAGATTTTTTCTATCTGGGCTCTTTACTTCAGATTCCCTTTCCTCTTTCTCTTTCTTCTATCTTAGATTGGCTAGTGGCCTAAACTTCTTGAGAAACTGAGAGACAAAGTTAAGTTGGAAAACAAAAAAACGCCCATTAATTATTAAAGTGAATTTCTCCCTAGTGCCCTCCTTTCCAAACTAACCTTTATTTAACTTTGTTTTTATTTGCTTGATATTTATGGTGTACACACACACACACACACACACACACACACCTCCTTCATTAGACTGTGAGCTCCTTGAGGCTAGGAAATGTCTTCTGCCTTTTTTTTTTCTTTTGGTATCCTCATCACATAACATACTGCCTGGCAGGCACAAAGTCGGTGCTTAATAAACATTTATTAACTGAGTGAAACATTGAAACCTTTACTAAAAGGATAGAGGTTTGTAAAGTAAGGTTATATATTGTTACAATATTGACAAAATAAACTTAGAAAATGCTAGCTATAGTACTAAGAAAAAAATTAAGGAATAAGCATAGATAAACAATCAGCAAAATTATCCCTATTTGTGGATTTTTGTGACACTGTTCTCTTTAGGCTCTCCTATCTGTCTGACGGTGCTTTGTTTATCTACTTTGCTGGATCATCATGTTTATCACATCCACAAAATATTCTTTATAGAAATAAATCGAAACTCAAACATTACCCAAGAAATATTAATTGTGCATAGCTGGGCCACATAAATACCATAAAAATGAAAATAGTACCTAAATCAATTTACTTACTTGGTGCCATACTAAATTATCAAAACATTACTTTAAAAAACTAGACAAAAATAAGATTCATTTGGAGGAACAAAAGGTCTGGACTCTCAAGAAAAAAGCAGGAAGCAAGAAGACCTACCAGTACTAGATCTAAAACTATATGACTAAGCCCTAATCATCAAAACTTATTTGTATTGGTTAAAAAATAGAAAACAGTTCAATCCAAATAGGTATAGATGACCCAGAAGCAATTTAAAATAGTAGCAGAATGTTTGATAAGTCTAAAGAATCAAATGACTGAGGTAACAACTCACTATTTCACAAATAATTCTAGGAAAAATGGAAAACAGTCTTGGAGAAATAAGGTTTACAATCAAAACCTTAGGTCAACATCTTGATCCATATATCATAATAAGCTCCAAATGAAAATAAAATGTCTTATCATAAACAAAATGAGGAGGAGGGAAGGAGATAACTTTCACAACTACGGAGAGGGAAAAAAACTCTTGCCCAAACAAGAAACAGACAGGATTACAGGAAATAAAAGACAATTTTGAATACATGAAACTGAAACAAAACAGCTAAATGTAGAAAGAAGACTTTTGACTAGGGAAAAAAAATCTTTGCAGCAAGTTTTTCTGACGCAAGTCTGATTTTCACGATACATAAGGGAATCGATTCAAATACAGAAGAAGAGCCATTCTCCAATACATGAATGATCAAAGTATATGAACATATAAAAAAGCAAGCTATGAACAATCATTAATAATAAAAAGAGGGGTTACTTTACAACATCAGATTGTTGAAGAACAAAAGAAAATGATAATTGTTGGAGGAGACTTAGGAGGATAGAACACCAATACACTTTCGGTGGCCCTGTGAACTGGTCCAACTATTCTGGAAAGCAATTTGGAACTGTGTCTCCAAAGTCATTAAACTGTGCACATCCTGTGATCCATTAAGTACAAAAATATTCATCAGACCACTTTTTTATTGTAGTGAAGTACTAGAAACCAAAGGGCTACCCATAAATTGAAGAACAGCTGAACAAATCATTTTATACACATCTAACAGAATATTATTCTACCATAAAAAATGATGAAAGGGGTAAATTTAGAGAAACCTGAGAGGGTCTGAATGGGGAGTGGGCTGGGGTGGAAGGGAGAAAAGTATCAGGATGATCGAGAAGAAGGGTGTAGTGATAGTGGTGCTCCCAAAAAAAGGAAGAAAAGAGGATCAGTGAAGCAGTAAAAGAAAATGCACTGAAGTCTGAGAACAGTTCAGAAGGTAACATACCAAGAAGTAAGAAAGTTTTGAACAAGCCATGCTGAATTGAATGTTTTTTTTTGCACCCCTACCCCACTTAGAAAAAAAGCCTTATGTTATGAGATTCAGGGTTTTATTTACAACCTTTTTTCTGTTGTTGCTTTTGTATATGAAAATGTTCATGTGTATTGGTGTTTGTCAAGTTTAGAATAAAAAAATTAAATTAAAAAAGAAAGCACTTGGGTAAAGAACAATGGAGGTAGAAACTAAAGTACAATTGTCATTAGAAGATACGATAGATCACCTGGATAGAAAGAATGACTACATGAGGAGTTTAGGTAATAGATGGAGAACTAGGAACAGAGGCATAAGATAGTGGTGATGGTGAATTCACCTATTCAGTTATTTGCTGGAGCCCTCTCTGTAAAAAACAGAGTGGCTGATACTATTTGACTTTCTTTCCTAATGGTCTAAAACATGATTTACAGATGAGAAGCTGAGGCCCTGGGAGATAAATTGACTTGCTTGTCTAAAGTCACACAGGTAATAAATATCAGAACCACTTAAGTCTTAGGGAGCTACCTGAGAGTACTAGTTTTGCTGTTTGTAGTCTGGAAGGAGTTACCACACCACCAAATTTTGACATTGATACATCTGCATTGGTACAACTCAATTTTCTTCAACATCTAATAAGCATTTATGTGTAAGACACAGTGCTAGTTGCTGTAGGATACAAAGATTAAAACAGAAAAATAAGTGTCTTTAACAAGTCTGCAAGTTAATAAAGGAAATAAATGTACACAAATAAAAAGAATACAATAAACACAAAAAGGAGATTAACATTATAAGAACCTTAAAAAAAAGGCAGGGGAGGTAGCTATTGCCTAGACTACTGCAATAGCCTTCTAATTGATTTCCCTGCCTCAACTCCCTCTTCATTCTAACCCTCCTCAACAGAACTGTCAAAATAATTTTCCTAAAGTATATATCCAACCACCTCGCTTTCTTCCCCTCTCCACCTCTTCTACTCAATAAACTTCTGTTTGAAATTTAAAGCTCTTCAAACCTGATCTTCATAAAAATGAGAAAATATTTATAAAGTACTCTGCAAACCTTAGAGTGCCATATAAATACTAGCTATTGTTATTACTCTTATTATGACTTTACTCCACTCCACGCACTCTATGATCCAACTACTGAACTGCACCACATCCAGTCTCTGTGGATTTGTACTGGCTGTCCCCCACACCTGGAATGCTCCTCCCTCTTCACCCCCACCTTTTTGAGTGCCTGATTTCCTTTAGAACTCAGCTTAAATGCCTGTTTCTACAGAAAGGTTTCCATAACTTGCCCAGATGTCAGAGCCTTCTATCTACTCTGCGTATATCTCGTATATATTGCTTTCTTTACTTGTTTTCTTCCCGTTTAGATTATAAGTTCCATGATGACAGGGACTGCAAAAGCCCCGGTAGCACACTGCACTTAATACATTCTTATTGACTGAATGATTGGATTTGGGGTCAAATGATTGCATTCAAATTCTAACTCTGACCCTTACTATGTGACTTTAATCATACTGTTCAGCTTCTTTGGGCATCAGTCACCTCATTTGTAGAATTAAGAGTTTAGAGTAGATGATCTCTAACATCTCTCTCAGCTCTAATTCCACAATTCTAGGGCAGATGGTGGGGAGAGGGGTCACTGAAAGCCTGCCAAAGAATGGAGCACTTGATAGAGCATAGAGCTGGAACATGCAGGAAGATAAGGATTTCAACACCTGGAGACTAGTGGGTTTGGGAATGCATAGGAGAAGGAATGTGCAAAGATGGGAAAGGATAGATATACAGTGTGGTTTAGCTAGAATGCAGTGTGCCCACAAAGCATAATAGGGAAAAATAAAGTTGGAAAGGTAGATTAGAGTCAAACTAAGAACACCTAGTCTATATTTTATCCTTCAAGGAGGCATATACATTTAAAGCTATAATAAACTTCAGAAGCAGCACAATGTTCCATCAGGTGCAGCTTGCGCTTCTGACTTCTGACAGCTTGTGTAAAATGTATTTCTGAGGCAAGACAGAGAAGGCAGGAGGACCCATTTATATCCCTGGTATACAACTGGAACTCCTAGACAGAGATCTGTTTTTTGTCTTTAGATCACTGGCACCCAGCCGTGCCTCCAATACAGCAAGTGCTCAATACATGTTCGAAATTATTATAATAACCTAAAGAAAGTCCTGAAGTAGGATGGTGGCAGTGGAAGTGTAAAGAAGCCAGAAAGACCATAACGAACACTCCTTAACCGCTTATTTTTCCTCCAACGAACGAAGATATGTAGGGACAAGATCAAGAGACAGGATTTGGAGTCGAGGGACCAGAGTTCAGATCCTGACCCTGCTACTTATCACCTAAACCTGTGGGGAAGGGCAGTTTTCTCTTGGACTAGATTTCTAGGCTTCCTTTTCAAGCTAAATCTGCGATCTTACTAAGGAGGGAGTGAGAAAGCGAGCCTGGGCTTTTCAATCATTAACCCTGTAGTCTTAGTGGGGGGCCCAAGGGGCAGCGGTTCTTCCAGTCCGAGGCCCTTCCAGTGACCCAGGAAGCGGCTCCGCATCGGGCCCAGGGACGGAGCTGGGGGAACTTGTCGGCTCAGCATGCCGAGCCCGGGCCCACCCGGTCTTCTGCGGCCGCTGCCCAGGAAGCACAGGCCGCCAGGACGCGCGCCCTGCCCTGGCGTCTCTGACACGGCCTCTGTCACCCTCCTAACCAGGGGCTCGAGCCCTCGCGAGGGCCGGCAGGGAAGCGCCGCGTCAGCCATACGGCCCTCGGCCCGACTGTCCTCCCTCCCAGTCCCGGCCCCGGCTCTCACCGCGCTTCTGCTTCTCCATTCGGACAGTGGGAGTGGGGCTGGGGGGCTAGGACGGGGTCAAGCTCCGGAAAGCGGGCGGCTCCGCCACATCCCCAGAACCCGCTCGGCCAAGAGCAGCAGAAACGGATAGAAAGCGAATAGCACACGGGGAACTGAGGCAGAGAGTCTCGAGACTCTGACTTCCGCTCTGCGCCGGGCGGACCAATCAGCGCGCAGCGCTATTCGTCATTTCCTTCTAGACTCGTGGAGGGGGCCGGGTCCAGCGGAAGAGCGGCCAGAAGGGGCGGGCCTAGGTGTAGCGGGCCGCCTGGAGGTCCGCGTGGAGACGGCTCAGAGTTGTCTGCCTCGGTCTCGGACACCCGGGGAATCTCCCGGTGCTTTTTGGTGTGCCGCGCGGCAGGAGGCGCGGGTAGGTGAGGGGACTCTTGTGGGTTACGATTTGGGGCGCTTTGGGTCATTTTCTTCCCACGGGCCCCCACCCCCATCCCCACAGCCCTTGTGGCTCCTGGGGAGGCCGCGTGCGGGCCGGTCAGGTGGTCCCGAGCCTTTCCCCCCTTCTCTCCCCCCTCCCCCCCGCCCCGGAGCTTGGAGGTACCTGGAGCGTGAGTGGTCCGGGGCCCATGCGAGCTGATGAGACGTTTATCGATCACTCCACCACGTCTCCTTGGTGCCTCCTGGGCCCCGCGAGGTGCTGTTGGCAGAAAGCATTGCTCCGGAGGCTCCTGCCAGCCCCCAGCCTCTGACGGGGTCTGCTGTCCGCGGAACCCCCAGCTTACTTCTAAGTGATGCATCCCCAGCAGCTTGGCCGTTATGTGATGAATTATTCGGTCATGGTAACTCACTCAGTGGGCACTGTGTGCTTTTCTTACCCTCAGTAAGAGGGTACTGAGTTTTTAAGACTTAGGTTGTCTTGATTAGGTAGTTAATAGTACCGTGAAATGTGTTTTAAATATGTTTTATATTGTTTTACTGGATCCTCACAACCACCCCTCAAGGCAGCCAATATTACTGTTTTATATAAGAACACACTGAGGCTCATGGTTAAGGTGTCTAGGCCATTGACACAAAGCTACTGTGCCATAGGAACTTAGATTTGGAGCTTGAAAGGACCTCAGAAGCCAACTTCCTCGTTTATTATTATTAATTTTAATGTTTAAATTATCTTTATTTTTTTAATTTTGTTTTTCAAGTCAGTATTTTTTGATCACACCGAATACTTCCCTCATTGAGCAAATTTTTAAAAAAACAGACATCCCTCAATATGTATCTTCATAGTTGAGCTAAATAAATTCCCATGTTAACCACGTCCAAAAATCTGTATGTCTGCATTTTCTTCTTAAGTTCATCACATCTCTGTCAAAGCGTGAGTGGCCAATTTCATTTTCATTTTTTTGGTTTCATGATTTATCATTGCATTGATTAGAGTTGTCAAGTCTTTCAGATTTGTTTTTTCTGTAATATTATCATCATTGTATAATTGTTCTATTTCTATTCACTTTGCTTTGCTTCAGTTCATAAAGTCCTTCCCAGTTTCCTCTGAAATTGTTCATTTTATCATTTCTTATGATACAGTAATATTCCATTAGATGCATAGATCACTATATATTTAGCCAATCTCCAATGGGCACTTTCCCTTAGTTTTCAATTTTGGACCATTAGTAAAAGAGCTGCTATAAATATTTTCATATGCATAGATCCTTTTCCTCTTTTATTTCTTTGTGGCATAGGCCTTGTAGTAGTAGTAGTAGTAGTATAGATGGGTCAAAAGGTTTGCATACTTTGGTAACTTTCTAAGCATAATTGCAAATTGCTTTCCAGAATGGCTGGATCAATTCACAGCTTCACTAATAGTTCACTAGAGTACCTGTTCCTCCAACATTGGTCATTTTTCCTCCTCTAATGATAGTTGTAAGGTGGAACTTCCAAGTTGCTTTAATTTACATTTTTCTAATTATTAGCAATTTACACCGTTTTTTCATGTAATTGTTGATAGTTTGGATTTCTTCCTTTTAAAACTGCCTGTTCTTAATCCTTAGACCATTTATCTATTGGGGAATGGTTCTTGGTCTTAATAGTTTCAATCAGTTTATTATCTGTCTTAGAAATGAGACCTTTTATCATAGAAAACTTTTGTTAGAAACTTATTGCAAGTATTTTCCCCCAGTTACCTGTTTCCCTTCCAATTTTTACTACATCAGATTTGTTTGTGCAAAAATTTATAATCAAAATTGTCTGTTTCATCTTGTGTAATCCTCCCTATCAGTTATTTAATCATGACCTCTTCCCTTGTCCATAGGTCCTAAAGATAATTTTTTCCTTGCTCCTTTAATTTGTTATGATATCATCTTTTATAGCTAAGGTCATGTGTCCATTTGGAGCTTATTTTGGTATATGGTGTGATGACCACCCCCATCATTTTACAGATTGGGAAAGTGAGGCCCAGGAAAAGTTAAGTGACTTGCTGAAGGTCACACAGGCAGTGAGCATCAGAGATAGGCTAGTAGGCCTTCCTACCTTAGGCACACAGGTTTTCCACTGGACAGGTTGCCAGTCCAGGGCTGAATTTTATGCTACAGAATATAATGCAAGGATAGATTCATAGAAGAGGTAGAATGTAACCTGGGCTTTGAGAGTGGGTAGAGAGCAAAGAAGGAGCTTTTTTTTTTTTTTTTAAAGAGGTCATCACTTGAATAAGGACAGAGACAGGAATGATAGATGTCAGAGTCAAAGGAATGTGAGAAAACCTGAGCATACATGAAGGTATACATTAAGAAATAGTTGGGGTAAAATTACATTGATTACTTGGGTTGGAGTTATTTTATTGGTGGTCTCTAAAGACAGGCAGAGACTTCGGAGTTGAAAGCTTCCAGTCATTGAATGTTTCATTATCCTTGTGAGCATGCTGGGATGAAAAGTAATATTTAAGGAGTATTATTACTTACGACTGTTAGGTTGGAGCAGGGAGAACCTGGAATCAGGAAGGCCAACCAGGAGACTGTTGTCAGTCTAGCATATTAGCAAAAGCAATAAGGAAAAGAATGGGTCCAAAAGATAGCAATACAGTCCTCTTTGAACTACCCCCTAAATTTCAGTCTGATTGGATGAGTTCCTAGAAGGAATCCATAGGGAGAGAAGAGCAGAGATGGAAGGACTAGGCTTTTAAGAACTCCAGTGGCAGAGATGAGATTCAAACCCCAGGCATGAATTGAATCCAGGGAACAAGAGAATGAGAAGAGCTAAAAATGACTCTTAGGTTTTGAACCTGAGTGGTTAGGAGGATGATGGGGTCACTAACAGAAATTGGACGGTGATGAAAGAGATAAGGTTTTAAGGAACAGGTGATTAGTTTAAATTTTGAACCTCCTGAGTTTGAGGTAACAATGAGGGTCCTGTGGTGATGACCAAAGATATTTAGATAGAGAAACCATTTGAACTGTGGCAATAGTTAAACCATGGGAGTGGATGCAATTACCAAGGGAAAGATATAGAGAAATGGAAAAGTGCTCAGAGCTGAATCTTGAGTGGAATAAATAAAATAAGAGAAGAAATTCAGCATAATTGATGACTAAATGGGTGGGAGTGTGGCTAGTTATTCAACTGTGTTGAGACTTGAATGTCACAGATCGGATTAATATACATTAGACATAATATAACTAGTCTGCAGTTAGGGTAACATTAGTAAAGAATATATAGAAAATGAAGACCAAAGACAGGTAATGTGTTAGCTTTATGTTAAAAGAAGTAATTTAGTGTAACTTAATGTGAAAAACAAGCACATGCTTTCTGTTAACCATGTGGCTACTCAGTAGCTATGTGACAGCACAGAGGATCCGAAAGAATTGAATTGTTTATTTGCTTACAGGTAGTTTGCTTCCAGTGGAATTAGGTGGTGTGCCATGGGGCTTACCAAGCAGTACCTGCGTTATGCTGCCAGTGCTGTCTTTGGTTTGATTGGTAGCCAGAAGGGCAACATTGTCTTTGTAACTCTGCGTGGTGAGAAGGGACGCTATGTGGCAGTACCAGCCTGTGAGCATGTCTTCATCTGGGATATACGGAAAGGAGAGAAGGTAAAGTGGCTATTCACTAGTAACTCCAGGATTTATTTTAGGATAAATTGGGGGGTAGGGAAGAGGGAGATGCTAGAGGGCAAGCTGTCTATGACTACACCCACCCTCATATAACAAAGATCCTCTTTCTTTGGAAACAGACAGCTTAACATCGGGTCCAAACCATGGGTGCTAGCATTACCACAATCCTAGCAACTCCTTCCCATTATCTTTAGGATACCTATAAGGAATTAATCTCCTGACCTTTTGGTGTTTCTCACAACTCTGCTTTTGCACCCCTTACATGATCTTGGCCTTAGCTTTCTAGTTCTTACAGCTTATCAGCAAATTGCAGGGTAAAAACTAAAATATTTTCTAATGTTGAAGAGAGAAACATAGGGTTTAGAGCTAGAAAAAGACTGGAAAAGATGTTTTAGTTTGATTCCCCCTTTAAGGATAGGAAAGTGAGGCCCAGAGAGAGGAAGGCATGATAGAATAAGGAGTCAGCAGATTGGCTGTATATTCCATCCTCCATCTTTCCCCAGTTACATGCCTGATATGTCCTAAGAAACTAATTTCCTTACAGACAGAGTCTGGAAGTAATTCTGATGCCCTGAAAATTGGTTCTTCTGAAAATAGTATATGCTATACTTTAAATCCTCAAGTCCCCAAATCAAAATTTTGTTGCTAGCATTTGCATGAAGTAAAAGTTTGATGGTTCATTACTCATACCTGACAGGCTTACTTTATGTTGTTTTGATAAGTCACCTTACTTATTGTTGTAACTTTATTTCACTTGATCAATGAGACTAGTAATTCCTGCCTCAAAAGACTCAGCATGTAATTACTATTTGTACATATGATTCGGAGAACTAATGTTATTGACATAAAGTATACAAATATCTCCCCCCCTTTGCCAAAAAGGAAAGCTTAGCTCCTGTATAGCTCATGTTTCAGTGTTCTTGTTTTTTTGTGATTTCAGATTCTTATTCTTCGGGGGCTTAAACACGAAGTTACCTGTTTATGTCCCTCACCAGATGGACTGCACTTATCTGTGGGCTATGAGGATGGGTCTATCCGCATCTTCAGTCTTCTGAGTGGTGAAGGGAATGTGACCTTCAATGGACACAAGGCAGCTGTCACTGCCCTGAATTATGATCAACTAGGGGGCAGTCTAGTGTCTGGGTCCAAGGTAGGAATTGTAGGAATTGTTGGGAAGGTGACTGGGCATGTACTGAGCCTTTGATAGACTAGAAATAGGGTAATATGTTCAAACAGATTTTTTAATAAGAGTTTTTGGGGGAGGCTTTGGAATCTCAATAATATGAAACTACAGTTGCCTGGGGTGGCATTAGAATGAGTAAGATTTGGAGATGAGTTCCCCAGAGCCATTCTGATTCTTTTGATCCTTTAGAACTTCAAAGGTAGCTTCTTTTGCACAGAGTTAGAGAAACGGGGTAGCACAAGGCAAACTTGAGTTAGATAAGAACGGCAGTGAAGTTATGGCTGGTCTCTTGCTGGACAACATCGTCTTATTTTTGCCATATCTGTTCTCTTCAAAGGACACTGATGTTATTGTGTGGGATGTGATCAATGAGAATGGCCTCTACCGTCTGAAGGGACATAAGGATGCCATCACACAGACACTGTTCCTACGAGAAAAAAACCTACTAATTACCAGGTAAAGACCTAATAGTTAACCTACTAGGTCTTCCCCACTTCTCTTCTCTCATGGGGACTGCTCAGGAATGAATGAACAAATGATTTAATGAATGAAAACAATTATTGGCCTATTATGTGAAAAGAAGTGTACTAAGTACTGAGGGTGCAGAAAGAAAAATGAGAAAAAATAGTTCTTGCTCCCCAGGAACTCACATTCTAATAGGGCAAATTCATATGGAAGGGCTCAGCTCCACTGCAAATGGAAAGGTCCTTAAGGTGTAGTGGCAAATCACATGGTAATTTATATTGTTTAGTGTCATCAAAAAGGAATTTTTTTTAAAAAAAATTTTGAACTAAATTCTTTAGCATCATCAAAAAGAATGTTTTTTAAAAAAATATTTGAACAACAAAAAGCATTTCTGTACACACAACAGAACAGAATAAAGATGCTATGTGAAATCATGAACCTTCATTTAATACTGCTTTCATATATACTTGCATATATATAAATTCTGCATGTTACGTTTAAAACTGTCTTGCTAGTATTTTCTTTCTTCTGTACTTCTTTAAACATTTAAAAAAAATTATATAGGCTCTCTTTTTTAGTGAATTATTATTGCTGACCTGTCTTTTCTCCCTACCCTATCTCTCAATTAAAAACTGAGAAAAAGGAAGAACGGGAAACCCCATTGTAACAAATAAGTATAGTCCAACAGACTGAATTCATACAATGGCCAAGTCTAGAAATGTATGTCTCTTTCTGCACCTTATATCCATCATCTCTCTGTCAGGAGGTGGGTAGCATTCATTTTAGGTTCTTCGGAGACATGATTATCATTGCATGATCAGAATTTGTAAGTCTTTTAAAATTATTTTCTTTATAGTGTTGCTGACCTGGTATAACTTGTCCTGGTTCTGCTCACTTCTCTTAGCATCCCTTCATACATCTTAGGATTTTTTTTATTTCTTGCTGCTCACTAATAGTCTGTTATCTTGCTGTTTTTTTAAAAATAGTTCTTTTAATTTCTCCCAATATATTACTAGTGGTACAAGTGATGGCCACTGTCTTTTCAGAGTGTCTTTATTTAAAAAAAATTATTTTAAACATTCTTTTTTTAAATTTTGAGTTCCAAAATCTCTCCTTCCCTCTCACCCACTGAGAATGCAAACAAAATTATATTAAGTAATTATACATGTGTAATCATGCAAAACATTTCCATAGTAGCCATCTTTCAAAAAAAATAAAATGAGAAAATTATAATTCAGTTTACACTCAGAGTTCATCAGTTCTCCCTCTGGAGGTGGATAGCAGTTTTTCATCATGAGTCTTTTGGAATTGCGTTGGATCATTGTATTGATCAAAGTAGCTAAGTCTTTCACATTTGATCATCCTTACAACATTGATGTTATTGTGCACAATGATCTCGCAGTTCTTCTCACCTCACTTTTCGTCAGTTTATATAGGTCTTGTCATGTTTTTTTCTGACCCCTCCCCCCGTTGTCATTTCTCTTAGCACAAGAGTATTCCATCACAATCATATGCACCACTTGTTCAGCCATTCCCCAATTGGTGAGCATCCCCCGCCAATTTCCGGTTCTTTGCCACCACAAAAAAAAAGCTGCTATAAATATTTTTGTACATATAGGTCCTATTACCTTATATCATAGTTGTTCATCCATTTCTTAGTTGTCTAGGAGGCAGTAAGTTACCCGCCTAGATTCTAGTTCTTTGTTTTTTCTTTTTTTTCTCCTTGTAACACCCTCTTCAGGATCAGGAAATTTGTTTAGCTTGCAAATATTTCCTCCCTGATATTCTCCCTCTTAAGCCATATCTAAGATGGTTTACCTGTTGAGTTTGATGTATTTCTACTCTTAACTCTGTGTGTGTGTCTCTGTGTGTGTGTTCAATGCTCCTTAGTCCTTTTCAAATAAGAGGACCATCTGATGCCTGATCTCCCCCTCCCCCCGTTCCTTGTGTGTATAGTCTTTTTCTCTTGTACCTTGATTACAAGAAATAGCAAGTTTTAACCCCTTCTTCCTCCTTTCTACTCTAGTGTGTTCCTTTTAGCCTTCCTTCCCGCCCCCCTCCCTTCAGATGCTCAGAATGAGAGCTGTGCTTTTCTTTAATGCTCTCATTCTTCTTTAAGGACATAAAGGTTCTGGAGGAACGATTGCTGCTTCTCCCTCTGTTAGAATTCTAGTGCTACACCATCCTACAGCTCCCTGTAATTGCTCAAGTCAGTTTAATTTTCTAGGTTTTTCTGAGCTCATGTTTGTATTTCAAAGTTCCTACTGAGTTCTGGTGTTTTCATGAGAAATGCTTGAGAGTCCTTTATTCCATTAAAGGCCCTTTTTTTTTCCCTGTAGTATTATATTCAGCTTTGCAAGGTAAGTAGATCGTGAGCCTTTATCTTTGACCTTTTAGAATATGACATTCCAAGATTTCCTCTTATACATAGTAGAAGTTTTCAGGTCTTGGTCTTCCTCTTTCCCCTAGAGAAGTTTTTTTTAAAGACCCTTCTTTTCCCATGTCTTCTTCCATAACTTCAGATCATTTTGAATTTTAGATTCCTTATACTATTACTGGATTATTCCAGGGTAGCAATATGTTGATTCTTTGTAAAACTATAGCTGGGTCATTGATTTTCCAGTTAGTGTGACATTGCTGTGCCAATGATCTTTCTATTTTTACTTTCAGTGGCAAAGACACTGTAGTGAAATGGTGGGACCTTGATACACAGCATTGCTTCAAAACAATGGTTGGCCACCGAACTGAGGTAATTGCAGCATGAAGAGAGGTCATTTGGCCATTGGGGAAGGGTGACTTGAGCCAGACCAGGGTTTGTAGCCCTCGTATCACTTACTACATGCTCTCTGGCTTTGTAGCTCTACTAAGTAAATCATGGTAAGAGCAGGGTTCATGTCCTCAGTATCTATGTCCCCTCCCAAAGGGTTTCCCCCTAAGATAGGTTTGGTAAAGGTTGGTTAAAGAAATGGAGAAAGAAGTACTTGGGTTTTGAAACCGTCACCCCATCGCCATTATCACTGTTGCTGTGGGAAATCTGGAGGCTGAACAGAAATATTTACTGAGCACTTGTACTGTGTGCAGTTTGTTGTGAGGGTGCAAAGGAAGAACATTTGTTAAGATAGATGTTATTCTACAAGAAATAAATTTAGGAGTGAGAAACCAGAGAGAATTTTTTTCTGTAGTATTCCTACCCCTAGGTCATTTTCCTTTCATTTCTCAAGGAGTTCAGCCCCTGGCTCACTGCCTCATTCTCTTCCCCAACTCCTGCCGTTTGTATTCATGCAAGTGATGCTTCCTAACTTCCCATTTTCTCAGGTTCCTGTGTTTTTATTCTGCCGCAGCCACATGGGTTGATCACACACTCAATCTTGCCATTACCTTTCGAGTATTCCACTTCCCTAGTTAGAAGCAGACATTGCCTTATCTGACCCTAACCTCTATTTCTACCATTTTTCCTCTCTTTGTGCTTCCTTCACTCCTTCTATATGTGTTCTTCACCCTCAACAAGACCTTTTCTTCCCTCTACCCCTCAGTGCCTTTCTCAGACCCTTCCCCCGT